TAATCAGTTTGTCTGACGATCGCTAAAGCGTGAAACCCAGGGTCACAAACTCACATCTATGGGAAATATATATATATATATATATATATATATATATATATATATATAGTTTGTAGGTGTTTGTGTGATTTTTACGTTGACGCTGCAACGTATACGCACAAAAAGAGATGGGACGTTGATAATTTTAAATATAAATATATATATATATAATATTAAAATTTGAATTTAAATTTAAAATATATGTTTTGGATATATAATCTAGCCGATTTTAATGATATAATTTGGGAAATGCTATTGACGAGCCGATGTAGGTTGTTGTCACTTCGGGAAAAGACATGAGTTCATGCCTTCTTCCTACAGTTATAGACAAAATAGAAAATCAGACTGGAATCACTAGCCCCGTTTGACAGGAAGTAGGACGAGTCTGAAATCAGTTGTGCGAGAGGCTATCAACAAAGAACACGGGCTGAAAAGTTCATAGACTGATTATTAAGGAGTGACGCTTGAGCTGTGAAATCTTGCATGCGTTCATTTCAACTCTTCTTATTGCATTGTTCTTAACTCTTCTTAACTGCATTGTTTGTTTCAAGGCACGAGGCTAGGCTGAAAAGTTAATAGGCTGACTATGAAAGAGTGACAATAAAGCTGTGAAATTTTGCATGCATTCATTTCATCTCTTCTTATTAGTAACTCCATTGTTTGTTTCAAGGTACGAGGCTAGGCTGAAAAGTTAATAGGCTGACTATGAAAGAGTGACAATAAAGCTGTGAAATTTTGCATGCATTCATTTCAACTCTTCTTATTAGTAACTGCATTGTTTCTTTCAAGGTACGTCACTGACTGTTCAAAGGAAACTTCAAAATTAACGCGCGTTTTGAGGTGGGTGCGGGCACAAAGGTTAAATATTGGTGGAGAATTATTTTTACAATCCAAAATATATTTTGTCTTTAGATAACATACAAAGGGTTGATAAATCGTAAAATAAAACAAATCAATCAATCAAAGCATCGTCAGCAAAGATGGCGGGACAGATGAAGACATCAAGTGACAGATCAACAAAACCCGACACGCTTTCACCACTCTGCCGCCAATCTGGAGATCAGCAACCCTCTCACTTTACAACAAGATGCGGATCTCCAACACCAACGACAAGTCGGTCCTACTTTACGGCTCAGAAACCTAGTGGGTAACCAAGACCAACACCCACAGACTTCAGACATTTATCAACCGATGTCTCAGGAAAACATCTCCAATGACCAATTGTGGGACAGGACCAGACAAGCCCCAATCAAGATTGACATCAAGAAATGGAAATGGGGATGGATTGGCCACACACCCCGCAAGCCTGCTTCTAGTGTCACCAGGCAGGCCCTTGACTGGAATCCACAAGGTAAGTCGTCTCCAATGACCAACTGTGGGAGAGGACCAGACAAGCCCCAATCAAGATTGACATCAAGAGACGGAAATGGAGATGTATCAACCACACACACTCCGCAAACCTGCTTCTAGTGTCACCAGGCAGGCCCTTGACTGGAATCCACAAGGTAAGTCATCTCCAATGACTAACTGTGGGACAGAACCAGACAAGCCCCAATCAAGATTGACATCAAGAGACGGAAATGGAGATGTATCAACCACACACTCCGCAAACCTGCTTCTAGTGTCACCAGGCAGGCCCTTGACTGGAATCCACAAGGTAAGTCATCTCCAATGACTAACTGTGGGACAGAACCAGACAAGCCCCCAATCAAGATTGACATCAAAGAGACGGAAATGGAGATGTATCAACCACACACTCCGCAAACCTGCTTCTAGTGTCACCAGGCAGGCCCTTGACTGGAATCCACAAGGGAAGTCATCTCCAATGACCAACTGTGGGACAAGACTAGACAAACCCCAATCAAGATTGAAATCAAGAAACGGAAATGGGGATTTATCAGCCACCCACTCCGCCTGCTTGTATTGTCACCAAGCAAGGCCCTTGAATGGAATCCACAAGGGTAGTGAATAGTGGGTTAACCAAAACAGAATTGGCGTAGAAGTGTTGACGCAAAGGTGAAGACAGCCGACACGACATGGGCCGAGCTGAAGAGGATCGCCCGGAACCGTGTCCATTGGAGAGGTGTAGTTTGCGGCCCTATGTTCCCCCAGGAAGCAAGAGGCATAAAAAATTATCTTACAATATCATCAGTAACACTCTACCTTGTAGGATCCTTGCGCCTTGTGAACAATACTATGAAAATGATAACTGGCAATCATGAATGATAAAGAATATAAGTTTGCTGTTGTAATTGAACCTACGTGCCGTTACCTAAATTTATTGGCATAATTATTCTTGTAATTAGATTAATCGCTTCTAATAATTCGTCCGAATTAAAACTGCACCAAGTGACCTAAAATATTTCCGTCGGGTCAATTATCCGGGGTACAGGCATGGTGTTAATGAAATTAGCAGGTGTATTCGTTTGTGACACCAAACTTTTTCCGCTTATAACTAAATAGGTTTGCACCAAGCCTTATTATTTACAAGTCTCTTTCTTTCCCGCACCTCCTCTTCGTCTCTATGTCTTTCTCTTCCTCGTTACCCCCCCTCTCTCTCTCTCTCTCTCTCTCTCTCGTCATCTCCGTTACCCTGCCACTCCTCCTCTCTCCTTCTCTTCTGTTTCTCTACCTACATTCCTCTCTTATCCTACCTCTTTCCTTCTCCCTCTCCTTCTCCCTGTTTTCTTCTTCCTCTTTCTTTCTCTCTTCTCTTCTGACTCTTACCTTCTCCTTCTTTAGCTCTGCTCTCACCAGTCATCTTGCTCTCCCTTCTGTTCCGCCTTCTCTTTCCATGTAAATCTTCGTTCTTCCTTCTCTCTGCCTTTCTCTCTATGTCTTTATCTCCATCGTATCTCTCTCTCTCTCTCTCTCTCTCTCTATCTATCTATCTATCTATCTATCTATCTCTCCTGTCATCTCTGTTACCCAGCTACTACTCCTCTCTCCTTCTCTTCTAATTCCTCTACCTACATTCTTATCCTAACTACTTCTTTCCTTCCCATTTTCCTTTCCCTTCTTTCCTTTTCTCTTCCCTTCTCACTCTTACCTTCTCCTCCTTTACCTCAGCTTTCCCTGCGGTTACGCCTTCTCTTTCCCTCTCTTTCTTCGTTCTTTTTTCTCTCCTCTCTATCTAGACATCTCTCTTTCTATTTATGCTTCTCTCTCTCACTTCCGCTTCAGCTCCCTCTCTTATTCTTCCTTCTCTCTCACTCGACCTTCCTATCTCTCTGTTATCATCTCTGCCTATCGCCCTCTTATTTCTGTCCCTCTTTCTATTTCCCTCCATATTTGCCTCTCTTATCCTATGTAACTCTCTATCTCTCTCCCACCATAAATTCCATTTTCCCCTTCGGTTATATTTTATATATTATATCCTTTTCCTATATAACATTTATCTTTTATCTTGCCGCTGTCTCATCTCTCTATTTCTTCCACTGTTTTTGGTCCTAATGTGGATTTATTTAAAAAAAATATTATGCTTTGTTTTACATAATTCTCTCTCTCTGTTTCTGGTCTCTCGACCGTCTTCACAAAGGGTGGAGATTTCCACATATTATTATAAATAATTAATTTTTATATATGTTAATGTTAAATATTCTCGATATGAGACATTCTCGTTTTTGGTTGTGTGGATTTAATTAGAAAAAATTATCTTTGTTTTACATATATATATACGTGTTTCTGGTCTTGACCGTCTTCAGGTAAAATGAATTTACATATTATTAAAAAATAATTAATTTTTCCTCATGTTCAATGTTAAATATTCTCGATATGAGACAGGGTTGGTAAAATTTCTTATTTATATAGGATTCGTAATCGGAATAAATTACCAACAAATAATATTCTTTTTCAAAATTAGAGCAAATATAATATTTATTTAACATAAAAATGTATATAAATTCACTACAAAAATACCATTTTTTTCAACATTTTGTGTCTTATCAAGTGATGTTGTTGAATGTAAAACCATGTCGTTGAGAAGACACCAGAAGTGTTGAAACAAAATCGCTATTTTTATATATATATTTATATATATTTTACATTAAATAAAATTTTTGAATATATATATATATATATATATATATATATTATATATATATATATAGAAGAGAGAGAGAGAGATTCTTAAGGAAGATAGATAGATAGAATAAATTTCGTATCAAAGGAATGTCAAAAGAATTGATGAAGAGTCGATTCTTTAAAAACTAAGGGCTGTGCAATAGTTAATAATGACCAACTCTATTGTTAAATTAAAGGCTGTTTTATCTTTCATAAAGTCACAAGATTGGGAAAACACTAACTATCTCTTATTCATAATATATATCTATCTATCTATCTATCTATATCTATCTATCTAAGCTGGGAACTGCTCAGAGCTCACTCTCCAGTCTTGATAGTCCAAAAGCGTCTCCAAGTCCTTTGAAGAATTATTCTGGATACCCTGAACCTCTCTCCTACAGGCGTGATGTTGTGGCGATAATATATTTTCTATCATTATATATTTATAAAAGTTTTATAGATAAAATACATATCCCATTCCCGCCAAATCAAAAAACTTAACAGCAAGGACGTAATTACATTTAACAAACTACTGACATTAATAGAATATTCCATCAAAAGATAATAAGATATATCTAAACGGCTTTTCTTCAAAGCCATGCCCTTTGGAAGGTTATAATTAAAATAGGATGTTTCCCGAGTATACAATCTTAACCAGTTCGAATCAATGGGGCTAATTGTTAGATATAATATCAAATGAACTAATATAACGTTTATTATACCTGGAGTAGCCCCAGGAGTTTATACAGTTCAAAATTTTACTGTAAAACACACAAACACACACACACACACACAACACATATATATATATATATATATATATATATATATATATATATATATGAAGAAATATAATCTTAAAGGTGTTTCTATTATTTATGGGATATGGCAAGTATCGGAGATAGAGGGTTATAAAATATAAAAAGTGAACATTGAACAATTTGGGACAGTCTGTTTCATGCTATAAATATTGGGTTTGTCAGGTATGACGACTGTGTCTGATAAAAACAGACTGTCGCAAAGCTACTTTATTGATATTTTTATATGTTACTTTATATATATATATATATATATATATATATATATATATATATATATAAGAACATAAACATAAATATATAAAGGGTGTTTCATTAAGACGGATCTTTCTCCTATTATCCGTATAAATTGCCTACTAATAAAACCCTGGCATTCATTGATGGCCCTGAGACTTGTACGGATTTTGAATCTTTTTTAAACACACGCACACACACACACACACACACACACATTCATATATTTTATATATATATATATATATATATATATATATATATATATATATATATATATAAAATTAATATACATATATAAAAAAGGTGTTTCATTAAGACGGATTATAAATAAGAGTGTTTCATTAAGATTGGCTCAAAGTTAGCAGCAAATAAATAAAATTTATTTATTTCTCTATTGGATCATTTTATTTAAGTCATGGCAGTTATGTTTGAAAAATAATATTGCCCAAATGTCCGAAAAAATCTGAAAGAAAAAAAAAAAAATCATTAGACGTTTATTTTAATTCATTTTTAAAATCGGTCCAAGTTATTGGAACACCCTTTATTTAGATACATACATACATACATACATATATATATATATATATATATATATATATATATATATATATATATATATATCTTCATTAAAAGACAAATGGAAATTGTAATTAAAAATCATATTTCGTCCAATGTTTTTTTTCAAGATTTATAGACACCCTAGAGTTTTTTTTGTTTAAATTGATTTCAAAACATCAAGTAATATTAAATTTTCCATTTCTTTTAAAAGATTTATTCGCTTTTTTTTTCTACAGATTAACTATCAAATTTTATATATATATATATATATATATATATATATATATATATATATATATATATATGAATTGAAAAAAAGACAAGAGGAAAAAAATTATAGATCGACGATAAAAAACCTCTGAAGGAATTATCAAGGCAAATTTTTATTTTTAATTTGTTGAAAATTTTTTTTTTATACAAAAGTGGGGATATCATTGGTTTATGAATACTTATAAATTTGAGATGAATATTCATCAGGTATTAATTGAAAGTTCAGCTGAAAGAAATGAAGGATACATTGTGTCATTATTCAAAATCTGGCAAAAAATAAGCGATTAATATTCAAGCATTTTTTTGGAATATATTTTTATGAACATTTTTTTTAAATTGTGGAAAATTGTTATGGAATGTGATGGACATTTGTCTATGTATAGCTTCAAAAACATGAAAAATGGATTTAATTTCATTTTTAAATAAAATTTTCAACATATTTGTGGTCGTTTATATTGGCTCAATAAAAGTAGTGATGGTTTTTAGGAAAGGCGAAATTGGGAAAAAAAAAAGCGTAGATTGATATTTTGAAAAGTTTTCGATTTTCGGCACAGTCGAGAATTTTCCTTCTGAGTAAACAGTAAATTTCTCTTTTAATGATGTGTTTTTTTTAGAAAAAAAATTTATATTTAATTTATTTGTATTTATGAAAAGTGCATGTGTTAAATTGTTTTTATAAGATCACTTTTTTAAACATTTATCCATGTTTTAAATAAACGTATTGTCTTTTTTACCAAATTTATTTTATATATGCCTGCTTCTGAATTATTATTGTTAATTATTTTTATTTCATATCCATAATGAATTTTTGGAAATAATTGAAACTATTGATGATGTTGTTAGAAAAATAAGTAATTTCTTTTATTAATGAAGAATTCCACTACAGATACACTATATCTGAAAATAATTTACATGTACACAACAATATATATATATATATATATTATATATATATATATAAATATATATATGTGTGTGTTTTTCTTAAATTTTTTTTTTTTTTTTTTTTTTTTTTTTTTTTTGTTATACATGAAAATACATAACAAATCTTTTAATAAAATTGTTTCAATTCAATCCATTTTTATCTCCGTCTGTTTTATTGAAATAAAATTTAGACTGAAAACGCTAAAAAATTTATAAAAATAAATTTTTTTTATTTGCCAACTGAAGCATGTTTACGGCCATCCATTTAATCTAGTTTAATCTTAGATAATTAAAGAAAATTGCATATTTAAAAAAGAAAAGTATGTTGAACATCGTAAGGAAAAATGGGTTTGAATACTCTAACACCAATTTGGTTCTTATAAGATGAATTTTACAAATATTTTGTAAAAAAAAAATATATTCTTTATTTTTTAACAGTTCTACCAAAATTTTAAAAAAAAGAAATCATAAAAGTTTTATTCTTTCAAATCTAACGACCAAAAAGTCCAAAAATTTTTTCAATTTCAGTTAAAGATGAATATTTATTTGAAGATATGAAAGATATTTTTTATTTTTTTTTATTATTATTTTATGGCGCTTTTTTAAAGAAAGCCGATGAAGCATGAATCAGGTTTACTTAATCTCAAAATGATCGTACAATAAAAAAGCATGGAAAAAAAAAATAAAAAAATGATGTATATATATTTGAAATATGATAAAAAAAAAAGATAATTAAAAACTAAAAAGACAAAAATTAATTTCATTTTTTTTTATAAATTGATTATCTGTAGTAAAAATAGACAAGGAAAAAAAACATTTGACTAAAAGACAAAATGTTAGCAAAAAAGTCGCTTGAGAAATGTATGGTGATGACAGTAAAGTTATGCCAGAAGATAAAAAAAACTTGTCTGTATTGCAATGACTACTACAGACTTTATTATATAAGTCAGTTTTCATAGTAACATTGGTTTTGTGTCATTTTACGAAGGTTGATAAAATTTATTTTAAGAATAACTTATATTCTCATGAATATTTTCTATCTATAAAAGGCAATGTGTTGTGTTTGTTTAACGAATTTTTGCCACATTTTTTTTTCGATAATTTGCACACAAAAATTTACATGCACATTCCAAGTTTTCGGATATCCTATTTGATTGGGAATTAATGGTTGTTTGTAATTATTCGGTTTTAACATCTTAATTTTTTTCGGAGGCGTGGTTTCAAATCCCACCTCGGCCGGTAGATTTCAATTTTGCTGAAATGTAAATGAAATATAAAAAAAAATTTGGGACTTTTTGCAAAAAAACGGAATTGTAAAATTGGCCGAGCAAAAATAAAGTCGTTTGTTTGAGTTTCATTCTAGGACAACAGGACGTTTTCGAATTGAAAAAAATATATTTTGAAAAATAAAGTGCTGTTTAATAAAGAAAGAAATTACTTGAACGCAATTAAATCTTTATCTTAAAATTAAATCTCTATCTATAAAAGGCAGGATGTGTGTGTGTGTGTGTGTGTGTGTGTGTGTGTGTGTGTAACGAATGCACGGCCGCAATTTTCGACGGATTTGCACCAAATTTTTACATGCACATGCTCCAAAGTTAGCGGGAAGGCCAAGACCGACTTTGCATTTCCCAACTCCCATCGATAGTGGAAATAATCGATTTTTTCATGCTTCTACGGCAGTTTTCATGTAGTTTGCGGCCATTTTGTACTGGCCAGAGTGAGAGCCTATAGCTGGCTGCCACGAATAGGCAGGAAGATTCTATTGGCCAGCGTGAGAGCCAACAGATGACTGACACGAATGTTAACTAGCATGCTAGCATGCAAAAAAAAATCGATAGCTGCATTCGTCACAAGTGGGAAAAATTTAAATCTGCATGGCACTTTACTCCAATTGGCTCATTCGCTTGCTTAAACTCAACGTTGATTCTGATTCCGCAGAACTGGGTTGGGTGTGAAAAAAGTATTTGTTGTTAACATTCTTTTTTCATTCGATTTTTCCAGTTACGAGTCCTTTTTAAAGCTGATCGTTTTGTGTTCATTTTGTTTAGTTCTTTTTTCGTAACAGATTTAATGTTTAATATAGAGCTTAGAAAAAATTTGCAGTGTGAGATAGGCAAAATGTAAGGCATGTAGCAACATCAACACGGCAAAGGGCACTCCTTTAAAGGCAAGGAAGGGCAAAATATTTTAAGTCAAGTGATAGCGATTGCTGTATGAGTCGTACGATTTTTGAATCAAGCACGGGCAACGCCGGGCCATGCTGCTAGTATATCATATTAAGGCAAATTTGTAATTACATGCCCTCTATAAGATGGAGTGCGAAAAGAACGATTTTTCCCCGACATGGCCTTTTTTTTAACTATTTTCACTCTTCGGTCATGTTTATTATTTTAAAAAGCGATTATTAGAATAGGAATAAAACCTAAACATAGAAAATTGAATTTGGATTATTTTGCAGTTTAAGCCCTGCGTTCACTTTTGTAATAAAA